AACATGAACAGGGAGCGTTATGCTCTGCATTTTCACTTCAGTCCTGCAAGAAAGTATCCCTGCTGCTCACACAGCACTAGTGCATTTCCAGAGTACTAGACCTAAAGTCATTGCCTAAGGCAGAGGAGCCAGTAGCCAGCTCTGGAAACTAGCAGGTCCAAGACAACTGGCTAATCAGGGAGCACATTCCTGTTTTCTGTGTAAACACATTGATGACCCATAGGCTTTTGGGACAATGTCTCTCCCTCCATTAAATGGTATTCCCTCCACTAACTAAAAAAAGCGCACACAGCTTTTAATAAGGAACATGTAGGACAGAGACAGGCATTACTTACCTCTGGGCAGGCTGCTTTGGAGCAGTCCACTGTAGCAGAGTGAAATGAAAAACTGGTTTAAAAAACCCAGGTAAATGTAAAATTACTTAAATTTGTGGAAAGGCATTTGTGAAGAATACAAGTTCTATACTTGTCAGCCTACAGGGGGAAACACACTATTATTAAGTAGTACCTGGCACTTCTGAAGCTCTGTTTAAAATGAGCTACCTGGATATTAAAAGTGTATAGACTTGTCTGAGACCTTATTAGCCAATGCTTATTGGCAAGCCATGTTTATATTGCAGTTTTTCAAAGAAAAAAAAAAATCAGTATAATTTTCTAAGGTTAGACTGGCTTACATCTCTGAGAACAAGGGTATTTCTATTACTGGAGGGTTTCTCCCCTTCCTCCACTAAGTTCAACAGAACTACAGAGCCAGAGCTATCTGCATGGAAAGTCTGAAGAAAAACCCCTTGTTGCTATGTATTAGTGTTTTGGATCAACCAAGTTACTTAAGTAGCTTTGTTAGTCTGAATGTTTCTGGATGATACATGTTAAGCATTGAGAAGTTAATGGTCCATTTGAAATAATAAAAGCTATGCCAACAGGATTTGAACTTAAGACCTTCAAATACAATACAGATGGTTTAATTTGCCATGCTTCTTCATGAGAGGACTTTCCATCTCTCCCATGATCCAACTGCCGTCTGTTCTCTGAAGAGTGGATATTACAAGCAAGAGCAGGACTACCAAGTCATTCTTATTAAACAGCTGCATGGTTTGATGAATCTAGCTTAAACTTTAGCTAAAATAATAATGATGCAGATTGTTTGATGCTAGGATGTTCGGACTTGCATAACAAGTGTTCCAAATGCTTGGTATTACAGCAAAAGACAGCATGTCCATCACATTTGAGCCTGCACATAGGCATAACTTCAGCTACTGTACTGCTTCAGTCCACCCCTCCTCACTGGATTTAGGCTATCTATGCAAAATGGAGTTGAGAGCACATATCAGCATCTTTAAGAAGAACAATCACTTGTAATTATCTTAAAAGCAAGCATTATAAAGCCAGGAAATGCAAAATTTAAAACAACGCTTAAAAAAAGAATCTAGACAAGTAGGGACTAGTTCATAACCAAAACAAATTTAAACCATATGACTGTAATATCCAGCTGCTTACAACTAGCATTTTAGTGTAAGGTCCCAGCTTTAAAAGATAGATAGATCAATTAATCAATCCCTCCCTCCCTCCCCTTTTTAGAATCACTAAGGATAGTGGCAAGGTTGTTCAGGTTCCTTAATCAGGCATTTCCTTGTTCAAGAGAAATTCAGAACATTACAAAGTACCTGTGACAGCAAGTTCCTTTAGTCAGTCAAGTCTCTTCTGCCTCCCCATCCTAGTTGTACATCAAATATAGGATTCCAGGCCCTAATTTTGAAGCTATTTTTACTCTGATACAGGAACTGGCACCAAGCCCCCAAGTCAGTTTGGCAGCTTTCTGGTAAGAGGGGAGCAGAATTAATAAAAATTGGAGGCCCTGACACTGTACCAGGGATAAAGAGTTCAGCTTCTGGAGTCATTTTGAGGCAAGCTCCTAATCAAGAGGGAAAGGAATGAGGCAGACATGATTGCAGCAAGGAAAACTAAAATGGGACCAGAAAACAAGCATGTGGGGATGAAGACTGGGGACAAGGAGATCATCCTGTCCTTGTTTTTCCAATCTAGAATGAAACTGCAACAAAAGTATAGCTTTGTCTTTCTCTTCCTTCATCAGAGCCCCTCTCTCTCCACTTATCCCTGGACATGTACCTTATACGTTTGTTATTGGAAGAGTCACCAAGATCCAGAAGTTAGGAAGTGTCACTTAAGATTGCACAGGCAGTATTAATTTACAATCCCCGATGTGCGGCACTTGTGAAACAAAACAGGCATCTATACCTTTTTGTCACCACAGATGCCCAAATCATATGGCTGTGGTAAAGGTGGAAATAGATTGTGCTGCTTACTGCTTGGTGGTAGAAAAGTGTAGGCAGTCAAAGCTCCCCAGTCTCCAGCTGCTCTAGGCAGATACTCCAGCAACTTGAGGGGCTCAATCCTGTACACCCTAGGAACTCCAGGGCAGGATCAGGCCCCACTTCCCCCATTTGAGTTTCCATGGACCATGGCTCTGAGTCCATCTCAGTAAGCACAGAAATCTGCGGTTTCTCCACTCTTGGAAACATGCTCAGGATTTCACCAGGGTGTCTCCATATGCAGAAAAAGCCTGTGGTTCCCCACTTACGGCAAATCCCCAGGATCTCCCACTTGCGTCTCCTTAACCAGGGAACCCCATGCCTCCATGCTGGCACCTATGCCACCAAGGCCTCGCACAGAGGCACAGGTCACCACAAGACAACATGAAAGCCAAAGAGTCCCCAGCTCCTGCTCCTACGCCACCCCCACAGCAACCCGTGCCTATACATGAAGCACAAGTCGCACAGGACCCAAGGTGGATCCTAGCATGGAGGCACAGAGGACCAGGAATTCCTCAGCTTTTGCACCATCCTTTGCCTCCTAGCCAGGACTTGCATTGACCCACACTTCACCCAGATGGACAAGTCAGCACAGGTTCAGGGATGTGGAGCATCCCCTGGCAAGCGACATGTGTTACCCCTTGCCCTGTACTAGGTCCCTGCCTGATGTGGGACAAGGAGCAACATGTGTCCTGCCCAGTTAGAGTGTTCACAGTTAGAGTGGCCAAGGTCTGGAACGGGCTCCCAGGGGAGGTGGTGCTCTCCCCTACCCTGGGGGTCTTCAAGAGGAGGTTAGATAGGCATCTAGCTGGGGTCATCTAGACCCAGCCCTCTTTCCTGCCTATGCAGGGGGTTGGACTCGATGATCTATTGTGGTCCCTTCCAACCCTAACATCTATGAATCAATAAAGCAGATTAGCTGTGACAGGACAGCTTGTCTGTTTCTACCCTCAAATACTCTTCACAGGTACTCAAAGCGGGACAGCAGGCCTGTAGGATCCCAGGATAAAAAGGTTTCTCTCTCTGAGAAATCAGACTCTTTTTTTACTCTTGGAAAACCAGTTTTGGTGACAAAGGCTCAGGACCTCCTGTTTCCCACTTATTGGGCCATCTAGTTTACAGAGAGCTCTACCTTTTCCCCCAGGAATCTAGATGTCCTGTCAAGGTCACCTATTGAGGCAATTAAAGCTCC